CCCCAAAACCCCAAAACCCCAAAACCCCAAAACCCCATATATGATGAGTTTTATTGAGAAAGAGAGTTTAGGCAGCAACTTTTAAGATTCCAGCAATCTGCCTTTTGTTTACAGCTCTGATGGGGACAACAGTACCAAAGACTGTTGTTCCCAGGGCTAGTGCTATCATTCAGAGGGTCAATAACCAAGGGAACTCGATGAAGAAGGGCAGTTCCAGGAACAAATTGAATTGCATTGAGATGATAAGAGCTAGCAAAAACCCTACTCAGAGACCAAGAATTCATGCTGAGAGGGTAACTGCAATGGATTCGTAAAGATATACTCTAAGAATCTGCATTTTTCGGAGTCCAATTGCTCTAAGGACACCGAACTCCCACATATTTTCATTGATATTACTTGTGGTTGAGATTATCAGCAGAAAGAAGGAAAGAATAAATGCGATGGCTCCAAGTAGGATCATGAAGATCTGCAACAGCGAAGTTGTGGATTTCACTGCTTTTTCAAAGGCAGCCACGTTGAAAACAACCATGGTATCATCTGTCAGAAGGCCTGATAGTTGGTTTCTAAAGAGTCCATGATGTACACTTACACAAGGACGTTCCTTTCTGTATCTGTCACTCCTTTGATGAGACGCACGAGGAGTCTTTCTTTAGGATAGTTGTAAGACCAGGTCTTTACATCTGCTTTATTAAGATATTCATCGTATCTAAAGAGCAAGATTAAGCATATTTAACATGAAAATGCACCAGAAAAAACTTTAATTATCTTACGGTGCCTTATTGTCTTTGAGGAAGGACTGGAAATAGGCCATCTCAAAAGCCTGCGGGAAGCTTATTATCGACTGGAGGAAGAACTGGACTTGTTTGTATGACATGAAGAAGAACCCTGGAACTTTTTGAGGTAACCCTCTCACTAAATATCTGTAATTGCTATTAATTTGAAGGTTCTGCTGAGTTAATGCGAGTTTGATAGTATCACCTCCTTTTATGGATAGCACATCTTTGATCCCTAAGGGAAGAACTCCTTTAATTTGTTGAGTCCGATCATAAGCAAAACTTGAGGTGCCTGAAGAGCTCGCTGAAGACATATTTTTACTAACAGTATCGTATGGATCAAGGTCGTTTCCAAACTCAGTGGTCTTCTCATCTGAATACAAAGACTTTACCACATCTGGTTTGCCTTGTGAGTTCTGAAAATTAACTCCAGAATGGAGATGCTTAGGCACATAAAAATCAATAAGTGAGGAATCAATGTAATTTTCTTCTACCGGTATAATATTGACTTCGTTATCAGGAAAAGAGCCGCCACTGTTGAGTCTAAACTCAAACGATTGGCCGAAGACCTCTTCAAAGTACTCCGTAAGCTCAAGTCCTGCAAAAGCGTACATCTCCATGAGAGGTTTCTCTTTAACCATTTCTCGATCACAGAATGCTCTGAGATCTTTTTCAGGAAGATGGTTTCCTGAAAGGAAGGACGAGATGACTATATCGCCACCTACAAAGTTCTTAATGAATCCCAGGATTAAATTACCAATCAGGAGCAGAGAGCTACCACTGAACACTAAGAAGGACAGAGCTATAGTGAACAGCATTGCTGTCTTCATATTTCTCTTCTTGTGACTGTGGTTTAGGTTTTTCAAGATTAAAGGTCTCAATTTGAGATCGAAGCTGAACACGAATGTGAACACATAGATAATCCCCATTTGGACATATGGAAAGATCAGGAAGCACAAGAAGGTCAGCCCAATAATCATACCAACCAAGATCATATTAAGGATGAAGAAGAACAAGTCAAGTCTGTTGAAAAGAAAAGAGGCTGGCAAGAAGTAATAAGTAATTACACCCATGAGTGTAAGAGTAATTCCTAGAGTGATTTCAAAGATGGATAACCCATAATTTTCTAGCTTAATTATCCTGATCATGACTTCATTTAGACCGGTATGGAAGACGTCAAGGGAGTCTCTGATCTTCTTTCCAAGGGCTCTTTTGATAGCCCAGATATTGCTCAGAATAGGCATGAGAGCTCCGATTATGATTCCTGACAAAGCAGCTGAGACACTTAGCCAATAAGTCGTTGAGTTTTTAGAAGTGTTGAAGATATACCACCTGAGGCCAGAATTGAGGGTCGCACTGAGTATCATACCTGCAATAATGCCAATTCCTGAAAAGATAACTGATTGAATGACTATTATCTGGACGAGGGAGGCTCTTCTGAGGCCAAGAGCCCTCAGCATCCCCATTTCATAAGTCTTTTCATCTACATCAGCAATCATTAGGGAGTAGATAAGCATGACGCTCAGGAGGATCATGAAGAAGACTATTGTCATAAAGGTACTCTGCAAGAAGAGTCTAATAAAATTGAGACCCTCGAGTGCTCCCAGAACTGGAGCTGTGGACTCAAGTGGGATGTCCAAATTGAGGTCAGTCTGGAGGTTGATAATCATCCTTTCGTTGTTCTCAGGTGTACTCATATAGTAATCCTCTCGATTTCTGAAGACAGCATCAACCTGCATTGCATAGTGATTTAGTTCTAAATTTTCGAGGTTTTCTGTCACGTTCAAGACTGTTGTAAACGTTGAGGATAGTACAGTTCTAGGTAAGTGTAAGATTACTCACATGGAAATACGAATGATTTTAAAGTATAGTTTAACGTACAATATTTAAACAAAGTTTAGGTTTATAAATCTGCAATTTTTCGATATTTTAATATAGAAATATCCCTCTGTAGAGTAACTTAGACGGCGCTGGGCATAATTAAAGTTCTTTCTATTCAAAAATAATCGGAGTCGTAGTGTTAGTATCAATTCACTAATTTCATGACTAAACTAAGCAAATGTTCATATATTTTGAAACGGACAATTGGGAGAAATAAGATTTATAAGGTCTAACTTACGGTATGGAAGAATTGAGAGAATTGAGGTTAGTATTGACAACCTCAGTTACCTCCTCAATGAGGTAGTTAGAGTCGATCACGACTGCGTTTCCAAAGCTGTTGGCAAATTTTCCCATTGGAGCATCGAATGAGCCGATGACTTGGAAGTCGAAATTGAGGACAAACAAGGCATCTTGGTTATCCAGTATTATATCTAAACGTTACACTGCTGCTTACCGTATATATCCACAGGGGTTACTGTGAAGTTGAAGTCCTGGATCGGAGACAAGTCAATTCCAAGTGCGTCTATAGGAAGTTTCAGAATGAAATTTTACAAATTTGGTCAGATGTTCAGGATTTCTTATAGATATCTAATGTAAATTTTGGAAAGAAAGTAGTGCAGCTTCTCTGAAGTTAGCTCTAGTGAAGAAATTTTCAGAGCCATAGAGTGATAGAAAGGACGACTTGATAAGATTCTGCCTACTTTTTGGGCACTCTTTTTGCTTAAACTACATAATTTCAAGCAGGTAAACAATGTAGACAATCTTTATAGAACAGAAAATATCGAAAATGTGACGCAGCACTTGAACATCACTAAAAAGTAGATACTTTATTTTTATCATTAATATATACTTACCTTCAGCATCAGTGAAATTAAAGAAGTCTGCAACGTTGACTTGGACATTTTGAGTAGAATTTAAGTCGAGCCCAGCCTCTTGGGTTAATTTCTCAATGTCTGCCTGAGTAAGCGGATTGCTTGTATCAAAAATTGTGGACAAGAAGTCTCTTGTATCAATGGTGACTCTAATTTCATCCTGATTATTCGGCTTAATACCTAGATATTCCAGACCAGAATCAAGAACAAAAGCTTGGTTAGCACCAAGTAATTCTTTTGTGAAGTCTCTTCCAAGGCCGATTTCGACTTCATTCTTGGAATCGATAACCATAACGACTCCAGATGTGGTTAGGCTATCAGTCGTGTTAGGATTTGTAAAGTCAGCAACTGCAAACCAGCGGGGTGTGACCCCGTTAATTCTGTTGAAATCCTTCGTCTTTTCCTTGATATTTGTATAATTCACAAAAATCGAGGAAGTATCAGGAGGCTCTTCTCTGAGTACATAATAATCACTATTGTACATGAACTGATCAGATGTCTGAGATATATTTTCAGCAGCCTTTGCTCTGTAGGTGAGGTCTGCCTCACCTACAGTGTTCTGGGCTTGCTTCAGGAATATCAGCGGTAAGATATCCATGATGGAGTACAAGAATACAATGAACGTTATAGTTATCACTACAGTGAATATTCCTATTTTATATGACCGTGGCTTCTTTTTGATGTCAGAAATGATATAGCTTGTGAGCACAAATAAATTGAAGTAACTCGAGTCCTTGATTTTAGCGTCATGGCTCTTACTGGAGCTGTATACGTTGATATAGTCCAGAGATTCACTGACTGAGCTGCCTATTGATCTTTTACCTATAAATTTTGTTTGAACAGATAAATTAGGCAACTCATTGTTGGAGATTACACTTATGAGTACAATGAAGAAAAGTTATTGGAGCAGAAGTGAATGGGGTAGATAGAGTGGATGTATCTTTGATGCATCTTTTGTCATCATTTTAGCCATCCTCAATGCTTACCTTTAGCCAGAAGTCTACTCTGGTCGCTTATTTTCACCATCGTATATTTATTATTATTCAATATGTTTATAAGCATTTGGGGTTTTGGGGTTTTGGGGTTTTGGGGTTTTGGGGTTTTGGGGTTTTGGGGTTTTGGGG